CCCGTGTGATTCATTTTTAGAAGCTAAAGAAACTCAAAACATTTATTGCCGAGTTAGAAAATCTAAAATCAGGTGAGGTTATTTTAGAGCGCCTGTCAGCTATTTATGTATAAAAATATAACACGATTTTTTCATCATTTTACAAGTTCAGTTCATCTTGTCAGCAATTGGGCTGTAACAAAAATTATTAGCCAGGGTAAAGAGCAGACAACTGGAGTTTATCACTAGTCATTACATCAAGAGGGGACAAAAACTAGATGTTTCTGTTCTTAACAAATCCCCCACTGATACAAGTTAAATAAACATGTTTACAACGTAAAACTTACCCATGTAAAAGCGGCAAAAATGGAGGTTCTTATAAAACTCACGGACACAGTACAGGTAGCCAATTGTGTAGTTTTGTGCTTAATAAAAAACTTCATTCTTATAATGCACTGATTTATCAAACTATTCAAAATCTTATTTTAGACACGCAAAAATAAAAATACTATACAAAGTATTTCGGATGATTTCTATATATCTCCACCAGCGACACCTGATGACTATTGTAATCTCGCATGTATAAACGTTTTCACTATCACTGGGTCAATACTGTTGTTTACATTTGTAAACATCTCTCACTGCCATCTGTTGATTATTGAGTTGAATGCTAGCTAGTCTGTCTGAAGTACATTAATTTTTGTGTTTTAAGAAGCTAATGAAGCTTTGCTTCCATAAATAATAACTATAGTCTGAGATAACATTGGTCACCAGGTGTCGCTAAAAAGCTTTGTACATAATCACTAAACATTGCTAAAGAGCTTGTACGTGTGATATTATACTACTCACCAGATGTCGCTGAAAGAAGTTTGTAAGTGGGGTAGGACAGTAGTCACCAGATGTCGCCGGAGGAAGTTTTAAGGTGTGGTAGGACAGTAGTCACCATGTGTCACTGAAGGAAGTTTGTAAGTATGGTAGGACAGTAGTCACCAGGTGTTGCTGAAGGAAGTTTGTAAGTATGGTAGGACAGTAGTCACCATGTGTCACTGAAGGAAGTTTGTAAGTATGGTAGGAAAGTTGTCACTAGGTGTCGCTGAAGGGAATTTGTAAATGTAAGGTAACAGGTGATTAAGGCGCTCGACTCGCGATCCGCGGGTTCGAATCCCCGTCACTGAACACACTCACCCTTTCGGTCAATCCCACTATTCGTTGGTAAAAGAATAACCCAAGAATTGGCGGTGGGTGTTGTTGTCTAACTGCCTTATTTCTAGTTTATCACTCCAAAATTAGGGACAATTAACGTAGATAGTTTTTGAGTATCTTTGCGCGAAATTCGACACAAACGAAACCTTCTCCACCCCCACCCCCCCTGGTAAAATTAGTGTTAGAAGGGTAAATACAACAGGGCTGTATATATATATTTTTATTATTTTTCTTTCACCTCAGCTTTTAAGTAAGTAAGTATTGGAATCTATTCTGGAATTGACTCCAAGATTTTATGGCACATGTTTTAGGTGCTACACGGTTAAATACGTAGCGAATTCAAACCTAAAATACTTTATACACCACTGCTCACCAGTACTACGCAAACGCCATCTCTGAAACAAAAATGTATTTTATAATCACGCATAAATTAAGTTTTTATTTCTGCACATTTTAAATTTATATTTTGTTAAAATCTACAGCTTCTACTTACAAGGAATTAGCTTTTTATAGCTGTTTTTCTCATCGTTTCCAGGTTTAGAACCGTGTCTCGTGCTATGTGGCTCTCCTTTCGTGGCAGCCTGCCAAAAAATAAACAGCAGAAAGAAACGATCAGTTATTTAAAAATTAAATACTTATTGGTACAAAAGCATAAGCACAACAAATAAGTCGACTATTTTTGTACAAGAGCCGTGAAAAAAGGCACAAAACAACGAGACAGATAAAGCGCCACCTGCCTTTGAATAACTTATAATGATTATTGACTAAATTATTCCGTAATTCGTCGTTGAAGATTGAGTTGAGAGTTTAAGTCTATAGATTTGAAAAAATTAAAATATAATGGAACAAATTGAATGTCTATCGCCTGGCATGACCACCAGGTTACGTCGTTTCAGTCGTAGGGACGTTATAATGTAACGGTCAATCTCACTATTCGTTAGTAAAGAATAGCCCAAGAATTTGCAGTAGGTGGTGTTGATTAGCTGGGTTCCATCTAGTTTATTACTTCAAAATTAGGGACGGCAGAAAGCCCTCTAGTAGTTTTGTGCGAAATTAAATGAGAAAAATTTCACTGAGAAATAAAATCTACGTTTTTCTAAGCCTGAAGACTTATAACGCTAAAATACGGGTTTCAATACTCGTGGTGGGCACAGAACAGATAACTGATTGTGTAGTACATAAGCAGACAAATCAAACGTCAATTTGTGACTGTTTAGGCACAGAGCGAGCGATGAGACCAAAGACATTTCCCGTAATTTTTTTTATTATTATGTTATCCTAACGCGCTTCCTCGTTCACTGGAATACATAACAATGATTATAATACTGTTACGACAGCGGAAGTCACGTGACACTGGTAACACGTCATGAAATTCTCGAAGGATCTTGAATTGTCCTGGCAACTCTAGTCTGTTACATGCGCCCCCTTTTTTTAGTATATAAGCCCGGCAAATAATTGAAGATATATGGAGATAGATAGAGAGATTGAAGATAGAGATAATCTAGTCAAGCCGTAAGTAAAGTGTGTGAATCCCT